ACACACAGACATACATTCATTTTTATACATATAGATATATATATATATATATATGCAGTCTTGCATTTTTATTAGTCATGTTTTTTCCATTTGTGGGGGTTAAAGAATCTGTCCTTGCTTTACTTGAATTATATGGTTGATTTTAAATTCTAAAATCTAAAAAAAAACTTGTTTGAAACTATATGAACAGTATTTTCAATTCAATATTTCGAATTTTTCGAATTTTGGATTTATTGTTTTTGGGAAATGATGGAAATTATTAAAATATTTATTAATTGCCAAAATGTATACTATATGTGCGACTATTTACTTTCTTTATTTATTATTTACACTTTATACCGACTAAAATTGACTTACTCCTCCTCTTCCCTCGAGGGGGTTGAAATTTCCAAAAATCCTTTTTTAGTGTGCATTTTCATGATGTCCCCCACTAAAATGTAGTTAAAAACAAAAAAACCACATCTAAAATAGTACAGTAGAAGCTGAGTTTTTAAGGATAAGACTTAATCCTCTCCCTCTCCCCTGCGGGGGAATTTCGAAAAATCCCTTCTTAGTGTACAGTACATTCTCGTGACATACCCTGTGTACCAACTTTCAATTTTCAACTCCTAACCGTTTGGGTTCTGTGCTTATTATCATTATCATCAACCCATCTCAATTATATTGTAAGATTACATTCTGTTACCTACAAATCTTACTACCTTTGCAACTCATTTCTATCGTTATTTTATCTACCCTGTTTTAATAGCATGATAAGCATCATCGTATTTAATCCTTTTCAATGACACCCTCGGTCTTTGCGAAGGACTGTGAATTTTTATTTAATATTTTTATTACAGTATGGAACAGAAAAGGAAAAAATTGTCTGGAAGTCAATATAAAAAGAAACGCTTAGAGAAAAGGGAAGAAGGAAAAAAGCTAAGCTATGTTATAAAAAAATTCTTAGTACAAAAATCCTGTTTAGATGAACCGTCCATATCCACATCAACAGTGTCTGCTTTAGATTTGGCAAATAAAAACTCAGTGCCACCCCAATCACTTCCAGAAGAAGTTGTTTAAGAGAGCCAAAAAATAACACCATCAGAAGTTCATCAAGAGCTGAGTAGTAGTAGCAGTGGCAGCCAGCAGATATTAAATGAAATTCCTTCTGATCCTGCATTATCAAATGCTTTTTGCATGTCATCTGAAACTTATCAAATACTAGTGGAGAGGGGTCCACATCAAATAAAAGAATTCGAGTTGCCTATTAATAAAGGAATGTGTAGATTTTTGCCCTTGCATTATTCGAAAGTGTTGAGCAATGGTGAAGTCGTTGAGAGAAGTTAGTTGATTTATTCTGTTACAAATGATGCTGTTTTTTGCTATTGTTGTATTTTATTTGATAATTCGTCTGCTATT